GAGGAAAGGAGAGGGAGAGAGAGAAAAACATCAATGATGAGAGTCATTGATCAAGCCCGCAACTGGGCATGTGCCCTGACCAGGAATTGAACCCCGATCGCCTGGATCCTAGGTTGACGCTCAACCGCTGAGCCACGGCCAGCCGGGCAGCAGTTCCATTTTTAATCTTTTTTTTTTTTTTTTTTAATGTATCTTTATTGATTTCAGAGAGAGGAAGGGAGAGGGAGAGGGAGGGATAGAAACATCAATGATGAGAGAGTCACTGATCGGCTATGAGCCCGCAACCTGGTCATGTGCCCCAACCAGGAATCGAACCCCGATCGCCTGGATCCTAGGTTGACGCTCAACCACTGAGCCACACCTGGCTGGGCCCATTTTTAATCTTTTGAGGACCCTCTATTCTGTTTTCCATAGTGGCTGCTGCAATCTGCATTCCCACCAACAGAGAAGGCACTTACTTTGTATACCTGGGCAACTGTGAACAACCTGCCTCAAGTTGTTGGCATGTTAGTTGACTGAATAGAGACTAAATCAGCCCCCTTTACCTGCTCAGACTATGCCTATTCGGGGGGGGACATGTTATTGAGGGAACTGAGTGTGTGCATTTCTGGGACCTCCACGACTTGACTGGGAAGTGTGTGTGGCTCTTTCTGGTTGTGCAACAAACCAGCAGGGCAGGAAATCTCTGAGGTCCTCCCTAGCTACATTCTAGGTGAGTGCTGGGAAGACAAAGGCCCAGAACCCTCCTTTTACGGAAGGCAGGGAATAGCAAATGGGCTTGGCTTGCCCTCTGTCCTTTTATGGTTCTTGGACCTGTCATCTCTGTGTATGGGGATCTGGCAGGATTTGCCACAAGAAAGTTTATAGGCCATGCTGACTCAGAGTTGGTCTCTTGGATAGCAAAGAACTGTCACAGAGCCTCCTTGTCCCACCCTTTCTCTGAAGTTCCTCCACTTTTCTCTCCTGGCACAGCTTTCTTTTTTGCTTCCTTCAGAATCCATAGCCCTCCCTCCACCCCCACTTTCAGTTAAGCTCAAGTTTGGGTGAAGTTTGTCAGCCAGTATAGTGCCTTCAGTCATTCTCTCTCCTGCAGTGTCAGCCTGAAGCTCCTGTGATAACTTCCAATCTGTTCCAGATATGAAATGAACGTTTGAAAAATGAAATCAAGCCAACAGAGCCCACAGCACATTTTAGATGAGACAAATAACCAAGCTTCTTGACTCCCTCAAAAGTGATGGGCAGGTATTAGCCTCCTAGAGGATTGTCTACAGTGGTAGGCTGCATGTCTGATGAAAGCTATGGAGACCTGGGGCAGGGAGCCAGAAATGGACCTTGAACATGATCTGGGAGTTCTGGGAAAGGAAAAGAGAAACAAGACTGTGGAAGCTGGGGAAAGAGGGTGGTGGAAAAATACTGTAATCCCTGGAGGCACCTGAGATGTACCTAGGGCTTGGGAACCATGTGCTCGGGCTAACAGGCATTGGCTTGGGGGACCCTGTTAAGCCACTTTGGGGGCCATGCTGTTTTTGTAAAAAGTAGCAAGTGATGATTTTCCCAACCAGGAGGCCAAGCAGGAAGGCCCAGCACGTCTCTTGCGCTGAAACTCAGGTCCGATGACTCCCTCTCTGCTCTGCAGCATGATCCCTATCCCCCATACAGGAAGATATCCCCAGAAACTTGAGAGTACCTCAGTGGCATTTAGGGGTGTAATGGGTCTTTTCACAGGGAGTTTCTTGATGGAACGAAGGATGGGGATGTCTCTAAGAAGTGTGGCAGACCCAGGAGGGCCAGCACCTGTCTAGGGCACTTGCTGCTCTGCAGTAAGGTTGGAGGGGACAGAACACTACTTGCTTATAGCAGGCCAAGAATTGAGGGAAAGGGGAACTCTGAGAGTGTCTGTGATTAGAGGTTTTAGCTTGTGGCTTTTTTGCAGCACTGAGGAAGTGATGGGGCAGGTGAGCCGAGCTGAAAGTCTAAACAGGAACTGGGGAAGTAAATGCTGATTATGATTCATCTGTTTGCCTGGTGATGGTCAACCTGTTCTCAGCTAGAAACTGCTGCTGAGAAAGCAGTGGATGGCCTAGGGTTGAAGCAGGAGGTATTTTTTTTTTTTTTAATGTTTTTATTGATTTCAGAGAGGGAGAGAAAGTAGAAACATCAATAATGAGAGAGAATCATTGATCAGCTACCTCCTGCACACCCCCTGCTGGGGATTGAGCCTGCAACCTGGGCATGTGCCTTGACCGGGAATCGAACCATGACCTCCTTGTTCATGGGTTGACGCTCAACCACTGAGCCATACCGCTGGGCAGTTGTTGTTCTTTTGATAGCTTGAACCTTAGTTCCAGAAGATCAGAAACTCTTGACTGGGAGGTCAAAGAGGAAACAAGTAATGATCAACCTTCTCAGAATCTTTATCAATAACCCCATCCTGACATGGTTCCCATGGGAACAGCCTAGTGTTGTGTGACTAATAGATTTACTTCCTGATTGGAGACTATGATTTGAGGCCCTCAGAACTTTCTGATTTACGGGCAAAAGAAGAAAAAGAGAAGAGAAAACCGTGTCTTTATAACCATTCTGATGGTCCTGTTTTGGGATGGAATTAGCTTCTGGCTGGTCAGACCCTTTGGCCTAACACTGTGCAGGGTTTCTCTGCATTCTGCAGCAAAGCAAGAAAACTCAGGCTTTTTGACATGGGTGTGTCCACCAGTGGTTCCTGACTCAGGGCTGCCCACCCTCTACAGTGGGCAGGGTTGTCTTACTTCTTGTTTCCAGAGATGCATGGCACTATTCCCCTATGGTAACTGGCCTGACAGAGCCTTGTGGGTGGGACCAGCAGCTGTGCTGGTTCGTTTAGTGTCAGTATTTTAGGCCCACCCACAACATCTTCCTGGGGTTCTACTCCCAGATTGCCAAAGTGGTGGAGTCTCTTGTTTTTTTTAGCTGAGTGTCTTAGTTCTTTGGGACAAGGGAACAAATCTCAAAGGCAGGGAGCAATGTCCTAGGCCTGAGGCAGCTGGAATCCCAGTCTCCTCAAGGCTCTTTATCTGATATAATGGGCTCACCCCTTTACCCCATTTGAGTCTGGCTGCTTTCTGCTTTCCCAGGGTGTGGAGCCACTATGCCAAAGGGAACCCTTGGGCATGGAAAGTGTCCCTCACTTGTAGCTTGTGGAGGCCAGTTTTACTTACTCCTTTGGATTAGCAAAACTGCCTTCACTTGTCTCATTGGGATTAAAGGATCAGAGTGTCAAGGGAGATTAAAGGGGGAAGATGCCAGTCTAACAGACTGATCTTCTTAGAGCCTGCCCTCTGATTCCTGCAGCTGAAGAACTAATGAAGGGGATTAGTCTCTACTTGGAGGCCCTCCCCAAGCAGTACCACCAGCCAGCAATGCATTTCCTGCCACCAGGCCTTTTCCTGAGCCTGCCCTTTAGGATTGCTGAGTCAGTAGTTAGATGTTCTTATGACTCTTCTCTGAACAGAATTGCTGCTCCTTCTTAGGAACCCCTGGCTCAGCCAAACCCTGACCCACTTGATAGGGGTTTTCATGTGTGCCTCAGCTAGGAGGTGGCCTTGGAAAGGCACAGGGACAGCTTAGGGTTCCATGGGGGCATTGAAGCAAGACTGATGTTGCTCTTGATTAGCAAAGGTAACTGGATGTCACCCCAGTGCTCCTCTTCATGGGATTAACTGAGCCTTGGTTGCTTGCCTGGGCCTTTCCTTTATGTACTGGGTTTTTGCTTTGGGAGTTAGGGCTCTTCCAGCTTTGTGGTGAACGATGAATTGTCCTTGTCTGCTGCTTTGCCTTCCGGACTTTGCCCAGAAATTTCCCTGTGGTGCTTAGGAAGCTGCCTGGTCAAGTAAGCATCCAAATGTGAGGGGAAATAGCCCTGGAAGCTGCCTCTGCTCCTTGCTTTTGCAGGCAGTGGTTTAAATGACAGTTGTCCAGAAGCACAGCCTCTCTGTTTTAATCTAAAAGGGAAAAAAATGCTCTCATCTTCTACTCCTGGGAGTACCAGTAGCTTGGGGAGGGGGCACAGAGGGCAAGGAAAACCTTTATCTCCCCCCACAATATGTTGGGTAATCAAATACCTTTTTCTCATACTTCTTAAATTGTGCCTGGCTGGCACTGCACTGACAGGCAGGATGCATCCTGTGGTATAGATGTAACTTCCTGCATTAAATGCTCCTGTTCATTCTCTTTTCACCTTGTTTTTGCATCCAGACAGCTTCCTTCAGAGAGAAGGGAGCAAAAGGGCCAGGCCTGGGCACTGCCCAGGTCATTGGCCCTAACACTGAGTTGTCCAGAGGGTTCAGAGGAGGCCAGTGATCTTGACTGGTGACTTGATAGGGTGGCATGTGACCCAAATAAAGGAAAACTAGGCTTTTGCCATCTAGTAAGTGCCAACACAGAGGGTGTACCCAGCCAGCACAGACAGTGGGATAGGAATCTGTGCCATCTAATATGGGAAGCAGGGCACTTGCTTCAGCCCCATCAGGAATCTGGAAAGTATCTGGAGTTGTGGTTGCCTGCAAGACTGTTTCCTGAGCTGCTGGCAGGGTGAGGAGGGGGCCACCATTGGAGAAAGAAGTCACGTCTTAGGATCTGTTTAAATGAATGGAATAAATAGACTTCTAGCAACTACCCCAGATCTTGTTTTGAGGTCTAATAGTAGGGCAAAAGCTACCTTGGATTCTATAGTCTGTTTTCTGGATGGTGGTGTGAAAATGGGAAGGATGAAATGAAACACATCTGAAGGCTAAAGAGATGCCATGCGGCAGCATTCTCAGTTGCTTTGGGTGGATTTGGGCAAGGCCCTGTGTGAAACTTCAGAATGAGTTCTTAAATGAGGGGACCCCAGAGTGAACTAATTGGACAGTTACTGGCATCTGGCCCATGTGTAACTGTTTAGAAGATTCTGCATTGACAATAACTCCCATCTCTCTGTTCCTTTAGTATCAGGTGGGACAGCTGTATTCTGTGGCTGAGGCCAGCAAAAATGAAACTGGTGGTGGTGAAGGCGTGGAGGTCCTGGTGAATGAACCCTATGAGAAGGACGGTGAGAAAGGCCAGTACACACACAAGATCTACCACTTACAGAGGTATGCGGCTGTGCAGCAGAGCCTAAAGATGGCCTGGTTTTGAAGTGGAGATAATGGATAATTGGGGGTTTCCAGGTTATTAGCTGGTTGCTCAGCTTGCTTCACTTGTGAGAGTGGGTGTAGGTGGTAGTACTTCTTTGTTCATTTAAAGGTTTGGAAGGCTGTTTTCTGTTTTGTTTTTTATTTATTTTTAAAAAATAAAAGTATTACTTGCCCCACCAGGCTTCCAGTCCCCAGAAGTGA